GCTATACCACTTGGTGCATATATGTTTAGCAATGATATTACTTAATTGTCTATGGTGCCTTTTAGCAGGATGTAGTTTCCTTCCTTATCTCTTTTGATTAGATCTATTTTTGCTTTTGCTTTGTCTGAGATCAGGATTGCTACCCCTGCTTTTTTTACTTCAGCTGACACATAATATATTCTGCTCCAGCCTTTTACCTTTACCCTGTATGTGTCACTCTTTTTCAAATGTGTTTCCTGTAAACAACATATTGTAGGATTATGGTTTTTAATCCATTCTGCAATCCGTTTCCGTTTTATGGGAGAGTTCATCCCATTCACATTCACAGTTATGATTACTATCTGTGTCTTTTTCTCCATCCTTTCCCTCCCCCATTTATGCTTTTCTTTCTCCTTTTTCCTTTCCCCCTTCACTAGTGTTTTGCTTTTGACCACTGCCTCCTTCAGTCCCTTCCCCTTTTATTATCCCTTTCCCTTTTCTTCCCCTTTAGTCTTACTGCTTCTTCCCTCCCTTCCCCCCTCCCTTTTCCCCCCTCCCTTTTCTTTCCCCTTTTCCCTCCTACTGCCTATAGGGCAAGTTAGATTTCTATACCTAACTGATTATATTATGCCCTTCTTGAGCCAAATCTGATGAGAGTAAGGTTCAAACAATGCTCCCCCCCCTTCTTTCCCTCTGCTGTAATAGGATTTTGTGTCTTTTCCTGTAATGTAATTTACCCTTGTCTGCCTCCTCCTTTCTCAGTACATTTTCTAAGATCAGATTGATCCACTTATTTGGATCCATTTAACCCACTTGATTAGATTTTTTTTAATTACATCAAAGTCAACTAATATCCACCCTCTTTTATGTATACTCCTTTAACAAGGTGTAATAACAATATGGTTCTCAAGAGTTGTAAGTCTCATATTCCCTTGTATCGGTGTAAACACCCCCCCCTTATTAACAACATATTGTATCCTTCTGTCCCATTTACCTTTTTAAGTCCTTCTTGAGTCCTGTACTTGAAGATCAAATTTTTTGTTGAGCTCTGGTCTTTTTATCAGGAAAGTTTGGAAGTCTCCTATTTGTTGAATATCCACCTCCTCCCTTGAAAAATGATGCTCATTTTTGCTGGGTAATTGATCCTTGGCTGCATTCCAAGCTCCTTTGCCTTAGGAATATCATGTTCCATGCCCTGCGGTCTTTTAATGTAGAAGCTGCAAGGTCCTGTGTAATCCTGACTGTGGTTCCATGATATTTAAATTTTTCTTTCTGGCTGCTTGCAGCACCTTCTCTTTCATCTGGTAATTTTGGAATTTTGCTATTATATTCCTTGGCGTTGTCAATTTGGGATCTCTTTCAGGTGGTGATGGTATTCTTTCTATGGTTATTTTCCCTTCTGGTTCTAGGACTTCTGGGCAGTTTTCCTTTATGATTTCCTGAAAGATACTGTCCAGGCTCTTTTTTTCATCATGATTTTCAGGTAGTCCAATAATTTTTAAATTGTCTCTCCTGAGTCGATTTTCCAGGTGTTGTTTTACTGATGAGGTATTTTACATTTTCATATATTTTTTCATTTTTTTGTTTCTGTTTGACTGATTCTTGCTCTCTCATAGAGACATTAGTTTCCATTTGTCCAATTCTAGTTTTTAACAGATTGTTTTCTTCTGTTAGTTTTTGTACTTCCTTCTTCAACTGGCCAATTGTGTTTTTTAGGGACTTGTTTCTTCAGTGTACTCTTCTGTTAGTTTTTGTCCTTCTTCTTCAATTGGCCAATTGTGTTTTTTAGGGACTTGTTTTCTTCAGTGTATTTTTTTTCCAATTGGCCAATTGTATTTTTGAAGGACTCTTCTACCTCTCTCATTTGACTATTAAAATCCTTCTTGAGCTCTTCTAAGAAGGCTTTTTGGGCTTCAGACCAGTTCATATTCCTTTTGTGTTGCAGATGTGGGTTTGTTGACAATGTTGTCCTCTTCAGAATTTCTGTCTTGATCTTCACTCTTCTCATAATATGAATCTATGGTACGTTTCTTTTTACTCATGGTGTTTCTTTATTCCCTGGCCTTTAAAGAGATTGAGCTCTCCTGCTGGGAACAGAGGGCTGACCCAAGCTTCTTGTGTTGGGAGCCTAGGTCTTGGTCACTGGCTTTGTGTGCTGGGGCCTCTTATGTGGCAATTGGAGGCTGTAGGTTTCTGGCAGCTTACCTTGTGTTGGGCTGGAATCAGCAAGGCTGGAACTTTCAGGCAATTCTAGGTTGCCTGCTTTTCCTTTCCTTTAGCTTTCTTCAGCTCCTTTTAGGTGGGTGCTGCAGGGTGTTTATCTGCCTGGGGCCCCCTGCAGTGTTGTCTACCTTGTTTCTGCTAATGCACTGGAGATTCCTTTGTGGTAGTGCCGAGGCACCTGGTGGTTTTCTGAGCTGGTTTCCACCGTTCCCCCCCCTCACTGAGGCACTGGAGGTCCAGGTGTTGGTGTTTGCCTGCTCTACCACCTGGGCTTCAGGATTTCTTCACAATTGGAGGCTGCAGGGCTCACAGCTCACCTGGTGTTGGTTGGAATCAGCAAGGCCGGGCTTTAGGAAGCCTTTAGCTTATTTTCTTCACCTCCTTTCAGATGAATGCCACAGGGTACTTATCCACCTGGGGCCCCTTGTAGTTCTGCCTCCCTTATTTTTGCTGAGGCACTGGGAGACCCATTTGCTGGGCTGCTGCACTGCTGTTCCCCGTCTTTCTTCTAGTTCAGCTGTTTCACTCTGCCATCATGGCTCTCACTCTGCCATCATGGCTCCCAGAAGTGGAAGTCCCTTGCTTATGAATTATACAAAATCTGAACTATAGCATTTTCCTTTATTGGTTAAATAGTGGCACTGATAGTTCCCAATTTGCAGTCATGCCTGTATTCTGTTCATGGAATTTCACATGGAGGACTCCTTAGATTGATGTTTTCTTTATCACATTTACTAAAGAAAAATGGGAATAGCAAAACCTGAAAAATAATGTGTTTTTGCCTTGAAGTATATTCTGTAGAGTATAAAGTTTACTCTTTGTAGGCACTTCTGAAATTGTACAGAATCATAACATCATGGAATTGTCAGACTGCAGTTTTTTTGAGGTAATCATGTGCCATCCCCTCATTTTAGTGGTGGGAAAATTGAGGCCCAAAGAAGTATAAAGATTTGATCTAGGTCACAAACTTTTGACCCTTCCAAGTTATAATGGAACTCAGCCACCTGACTAGGCATTGTTTTATTTCCAAGAAACTAATTAAAATTATGAACTTCTGATGAAAGCCACACCTTAGTCTACTCTGTCCAACTCTGATGACTACACTGCCCCAGATGGTGAACAAATCTGTTGTAAAAAAATTTTAATAGTTCTTTTCCATTTTTTATCTGTTCATTGTGTTACTTTCAATTTCAGAATGACTTGGCTTCACTGGTTTCTTGCCAGATTTTCTGTAGGCTAGTTTTTCCTTTTATTGTTTCTTTTTAGTTTATAGGGTGACATTACTCATATCTTCATCATCCGTCTCCCTAACATTTTATAAATGAGTTAATATTTTAAATATTTAACTGCCATATATCTCTACTTGGACAGTAAGTCAAGTGTTTACTAAGCCTTCTTTAGTTTCCTTGTTACAGCAGTTGATTTACATTGGTTAAATTTATCTGTGAAATCATTGTAATCAGGATTGAATGATGTTCTGTTCATATCACTTTTATATCAATAACTTGTTTCTATAGCTCATATTGGAATTTTTAAATTCTATGTTTTATCTTCACATTTTTATTTGTCATTCTAGCTCTTAATTAATTTTGATCCTTAGCTGTAACTTATCAGTGGCCTGACTGGACAAGTATGGTGTATCACATTCGGGAATAAATCCCATCATTAATGAGTCATTTCCTGTTTGTTAAAATATAGCTAATTTAATTTTTTTACAGTGCCATTTAGTGTGCAACATGCCTGGTACCTTCTAATTCTTTGTTTCAAGGAAGGATTCATCTTGTCTAGGCATGCAGCTGCAGGGCATAAGTATCACTGGTTTTCAGCCTCTTAGTTCTTGCTCTTGAGGAATATTTTCCAACAACCCTTTCACCATCCATGCCTGTTTCCATCTTCACATTAAAATCATTATGAAAATATGTGATGAATTGATTAGGAAATCCTTATTAAGTTCTTTGTAGCAATGCTCTGTCGCTTCAACCTTTCCAACAGATGTTGGTCTATACGCTGTATTATTTTCAGGGTTTATTTATTTTTTCAAATTTTTTCAAAAAATTTTTTTCAAATTTCAAAATTTTTTCCAAAGTATTTCCTAAGCGCTGCAGTAAGAAATAAACAAATAGCTCAGGAAATGGTATTTCTTGTTGCCTTGGACACAAGTTAAAAACAACTCTTTATTTGTCTCTCCAAGGAGAACCTATAGACCATCCTGTCATTTAGCTGCAATTTCCTTCTGTTACAGATCTGTTTATAGCAAGAGTGTCAAGAGTGCTCCAATTCTGATACTCCAGTAGTATGTCCCCTAATCCATAGGACAAAATTATCATATTTAGAGTGCCAGCAACTAAGGCAGTGTTTCCAGAGGCTCTAAAGCCTTTGCTTAGTGCCCTCCACTCCCTTTACTTCCACAATGACTGAAGCTGCAGAAGGGGAATGGGGGCCACAACAGACTGAAGGATTTTCTTTTTTCATGGGTTGCATGCCCAAACCTACTGATAATGAGTCTCTCTTTGGCTAACTAGACTGGTCCTTGGAAAGAAGACACAGTGTTTCCAGCCTTTCCAGCATGGTAGAACAAGCCAGAGATTTCATTTCACTAGCACAGATTTCCAGAACCGAGAATCACCTCCATGGTGGGGGGGGGGGGAAGTTGTTGAGGATAGGGCATCATTTGGGAGATCAGTCTTACAACCTGGAAAGACACATTTGACTGAGATTGTGGGCAGACACATGCATAAATTATATGTATACGTGCATGTAGATCTATACTCTGCATACTTTAATTCTTTCTTTTCCAGAACCTACTGGCAAAGATTTTGGACCCACTCTGGGTTTGAAAAAGTCCAGTTCCCTGGAGAGTTTGCAAACAGCAGTAGCTGAAGTCAGGAAAAATGATCTTCCTTTCCATAGACCTCGTCCTCATATGGTGCGTGGGAGAGGGTGCAATGAAAGCTTTAGAGCTGCTATTGACAAATCTTATGATGGACCTGAAGACTTAGAGGAGGGTAAGTCACTGCACTTTCTTAAACCATTTCTTTATTGCATGACAGTCTAGGAATTGTGGAGAAGGATGGGCCCTGAACTGCTGAGGAAAATGTTTCAAACCTTGTAATTATAATTCTAATATTAAAAGTAATTAATTTTCCTGATCTTTTTGCCCTTTGGCTCAGAGAACATTGGATTGGATAACCCAAATTGCAATTTATTTTTCAGTGCAAACGATAAAGGGGAAAAATGTTCTCCCTCCGTTTCCCACAAGGACTCCCTGTCATTTATCCTTAGGGTAGGAACACTAAGAATGCTTTGCCTTACATTCTGTTTTCAAGTCATTAGGAATAGCATCATCCCAAGGACTGACTGCATTAATTGGGTAGAGACAGTTAGGTTATATTAGTACTCAAAACCTCTTCTCGAAAGAAATTCTCGCTGTTTGCTTCCCAGCGTGTGAGCTTTCTGAACTGATCAAGGTTAACAAGCCAGCTTTCAGAGAGATTAGTGTTTTATCACATGTCAAGGCTTTCATACTAGCAAATAAGCCACACTAATAGTGCTCTGTCTACCTCACAACAAGCCTTGCATGAAGTAACCAGATTTGAGTCAATCTCTCTTAAAAGTATTCAGGTAGCCCCATGAAATGGTAGAATTCTGTAATACTTCTCTTTTAATTGTTCTGCATTTTACTTTTTTACTAACCATAAATGATCCCTAACCATTTGTATTGATTTTTCTTCTTTTTTTGTGTGTTGTTTTATTTTGTTTTGTTTTGTTTTTCCTGTGCAGACTGTCTGTCTGATAAGAGCTCTTTCTCTGGTCAAGGAGCTCCGAATTGTGAATCTAACCCTCAGGGGAATGCTGCACCAGAGGATGTAGAAAATAAGGCCAAGAAGAATAAAAAAAATAAAGACAAGGAAAAGAAAAAGGAAAAGGGCAAATTGAAAGTGAAGGAGAAAAAACGAAAAGAAGAGAATGAAGACCCTGAGAAAAAAGTTAAGAAGAAAGGGTTTGGTGCCATGTTGAGGTACAGTCTTTCTTGGCAAAGGAAATTAATGTCACTTCATTTCTATGCTAGTGGAATGTGCTCATTTTATCTGCCTTGGAAAACCTGCATCTCTAGTTAAATGTGTCTGTATTCTGACTTAGGTCTTGCCTTTTGGCAATGGCAAATATAGCAAAATGTTTAAGTTGTGGCTCCTTTCTCAGTTGACAGGAGATCTTGATGGTGCCCTTGTCAGAGGAAGAGCATTGGCAAAAATCCTGTTTAGGGAGCCATTAGAAGGGACTTCAGCTCTGGATAACAAGGTCTGCTTTATTCAAGAAACCTCAGGTTTAATGATATGCTTTCTGTGCTGTAAACCTTAAAATACTATATAAATGATAGCCATCATTTTATTGTTCTTATTATTATGTAAGCCACAGAATTCTCCAGTGACAAAGAGAAGAAGGTGAAGAAAAGCTATTAAACAAATAGGCACCCTCTGAAAATCCTTTCTTTAAATTAGAGGCATTGAAGTAGGTAAATATAATGCCACCTTTGTTCAAATGAATGGGTATCTATTTGCTGCAAACCTCTGTGTCCAAACCAGCTAATCAGCTTTGTTGTTCCCACTGATACCAGCAGCCTTCCCTGTCTTTTTTTTTTCAAAGCCCTGTGAATATCTTTTCCAGCATTCCTCTCTGGGATGGGAGATGGCTCCCACTGCAAAGCTATCCAATGGCTTTTCCCCTAGAGGCCCTCTGACATTCTCTGATACTGCTGACCTACAATCTGTCCAAATTAGCCGGATCTCTCATGAGATTTCATTTTCCTGTGATCCTATAGACCCATCCATTTGTCATATTGCTTTCTGAGCCTCTTCTTATGCAACATAATCCCAGGACTTAGAAGAGTTTATGGACTGTGACTTATGCATCCTGAAAATAATGGCCATAAATACTGCATACTAAAGGTAACTATTACAGGGAAGATGCTTTAAGAACTCTATATGAATCCATAATTGTTTTCTCTTGCCTCTGAAATATCCAGTGAATTCTCTTCCTCTTGCCCCAAAATCCATTGCCTATGGAATAAAATAAAACCTCTCTAGCCCAGAAGTTAGATTCTTCACAATATGGCTCCAGCTTACTTTTCAAGCCTTATTTCCCTCATATTACCTCCCTCCTCACCCCTGTCCCAGGCAGTCTGTTTTCAAGCCAGACTGGCCTTCTTACAGCTCCTGAGCTCAACTCACTCCTTCCCACCACCAAGCATTAATCGTGGCTGTCTCCCATGCCTGAAATGCACTCACTCTTCAATCAGTGAACATTTAATAACTGTCTGCTTTGTGCCAGACACTGTGCTAAGATTGTAAGCAAGAGATGAGAACCAACAATAGCATTTAAGTTAGGCACAAGGATGAGCCTAGCTCCAAGGGAGTTAAGTCCAAAAGTTGGGTTTATCTGAAACTTGGATCAAAACATAGATAACAGGCTTTTCAGATTTGCAAAACCCAAGAAATAGCTACCAAATGGAATGACAATATCAGAATCCCAAAATATCTTCACTGGCTACTACAGTAATTCACTCTACTGAACCCATTGAAATATCAGACATAGGGGAAAAGGGACTGAACCTGAGGTTTTATTGTCCTTGGGTAATAGATACAAATGCCAAATCCTACATTTGTATTTTTTTAAAAAATGTGTTCTGTATGTACAGGACAGAGGAGGCATGGCTAGACTTTATTTCATGAGACCCAGAACTTTTAGTGTGAGCTTGGTGTAAGACTGAGGCTTTGTGTAAACACTGTTACTGCTTACACAAAGATAAAAATTAAGTAGTCCCTGCCCACAAGGAGCTTAAATCCCAATTTTTCATCCTCCCAGATTCAGCTTGGGGGCTACTTCCTTGAAGAAGCCTTCACTGATTCTCTTGAACTGAAATTTTTCTCTCACTCCTCATATTTTCCAAGACCACTTTGTCCACATCTCACTTTGGCCCTATACTGCTACCAGACCCTGCCTTCTCAATGCCCTTATTCCACCCTCAATCCTATTTATTTATGTCATGATGTATCCTTTCTAAGTGAACTACAAAATCCTTGGGGATAACAGTCATTTTTTGACTTGTTATCTCCAGAGCCTTACCCATAGTGGATTATTAAATGTTTGTTGAATAAAAACAATCTGAAAATACACGAGAAACTAGATAATTGTATAAGCTCGTGTTGGACCAACCGTGTTAGCCATAGGTCTCTTCTTGTGGGAGTTGGGGGAGAGACAATGATGTCCATCCTCTTTTGGCTGCCTTATCCCTCTACACATCTCTACTGCAGGATTCTCTGAACCATTTCTGCCAGAGATTCACTAACTCCTGATTTCTCTTTTCTCTACAATTTTAGTAAACTTAAAATTTCCAAGGAAGTGTTTGCTTTTATCTTCAGTGCAAAATAGCAACTTGTTTTGCATAGCCTTTTACATCTGAATCTTTTTTGAGCATATTGGAGTTATTGCTACAGGCACATTTTCAGCAACAAAGGACACAAAAGCTGTTGCCATTAGCCAACAGATTTTGCTTCCTTCCTCATCTGTTGTTGAGATATTTACTTGTTTTCCCTTGTTTTGTTTTGTTTTTTCTTAAAAGATCGATTGGTTTTTTGGTTTGGTTTTGGGTATGGGGCTTTTTTTGGTTTTTTTTTTTTATGGTGTAGCTTCTCTTGGAGTTAGGCACATGATTCTAAGGTTAACATTTCATGGTCGGATTTTTTGTATTCTTATTTTCAAATCCAGCATATTTATTAAAGGCCAACTGTGTTCATGGAACTGGACTTGTTCACATAGCTAGGCCCTAGGGATACAAAGACTCAGTCAAACAAGCATTTTTTAAACATTCTGCTAGATCCTGGAATACTAAGACAATGCCCTCACAGAACTTATAGTCCACCAGGACTATATACATGTACACATATAAGCACATACAAAATATAAATATATATACATATAAAGAGGGAATTCTGGTGCCCATTGGAGACGAGGAAGAACCTCATTCTGGAGATGTTATTTGAAATTAATTTTGAAGGGAACCAAAATTCTAGGAGACAGAAAGAAGTACATTCCAAAGATGGCAGACAGTTTGGTCAAAGGCATGAAGATGTGAGATAAAGTGTCATGGATAAGGGACAGAATGGAAGCCAGATTAGTCTGAGTTATAGAAAGTATGAAGAAGGGAACTAATATAAAATAAGATTGGGGAGGCAGGGAGGGAGTTGTGCCCAGATTGTGAAAAGCTTTAAATGAAAACAAAAGGGTTTATTTTTGATCCTGAGAGTGGAAGGAAGGAAAGAAGGAAAACAAAGGAGGGAGAAAGGGAGGGAAGGAAGAAGGAAGGAAGGACAGAAAGGAACAAGCTTCTGTTAAGCTCTGATTATGTGCCAGACTCTGAGCTAAGCACTTCACAAATATTATCTTATCTGATCTTCACAACCACCCTGAGAGGTAGGTGCTATTTTTCTCATCTTACAGTTGAGGAAACTGGGGCAGTCAGAGGTTAGGTATCTTGTCCAGAGTCACATAACTAGCAAGTATCTGAGGCTGGATTTGAACTCAGGTCTTCCTGACTCCAGGCCACTGGCTGACTCTATCCACCATACCATTTAGCTGCCACAAATTGGATAAGACCTTGAGGTGGGGGAAGGGAAAGGGAAAAGAAGAAGCATTTATATAGCACCTGTTACCTTCCAGGCACTGTGCTAAATGCTTTGATAATAATTGTCCTCTCCTTTTTTAAGGGAGAGCCTTTGCTTTAGAGTATAGCCTTCTTTTGGGTTAAGAAAAAGATTAACTCATGCTAAACATAGTTGAAAAACTAGGGGAATCCCCTTTAATTTATATCTTCTGCAGTCATAAGAAGAATAATTCTTACAGTCATAAGAATCGTATAGCATGGTACAATGGTATACAATGGTATAATGGACTCTAAATTCAGACAACCTGAGTTCAAATCCTGCCTCTGATATTTACTGCCTGTGTGACATTGGACAAATCACTGATCTTCTCCTGATCTCAATTTCCTATAAAATGGTCTAAGATGTACTAGATAGCCACTGAGGAGCTTGCGCTCTCTAAATCTATAATTCCATACATGTTCCAAATTCAGTTGGTCCAGTATGTTTCTACTTTCCTGATTTCCATGTGAACCTCTTTAGACAGGTCATATGTAGTCCTTTGGAAGGTCTCATAAATGAAGTCAAAAGAAGCAGGGCAAATAGCAGACTGATGATGATTAAGTTCTTTGCGGGTTCCTTCTTAGCGAGATATGAACTTTACGAGATAAAGTCAACTTTTCTGTCAGGATCAACCATTGGTATTGACTCAAATGACTCTGTGTTCCCTGAGCTGACCACAGGTTAACTGGAAATGCTACCAGCCAAATGTATCAAGATAAAATCTACTATTTCTAAAAGGTTTCCTGTTGTGACTTATGCACATGAAAATACCTACAAGATGGATCCATTTAGCAGCTGTGTACCTGCTTCTGAAATGCAAGTAATTGGCAAATCTCTTATGGCCTCCACAAATTATGGCTTAAAAAGCACATTCCTTTTAACCTGAGAGGATTGAGAAAATTAATTTATTAATGCTGGTGAAGCACTTTGAAAATGAAATGGCTGTACTAAAATACAGAGTTTCAATATTATTTATCTGATATATGTCTTGAAAATGTTTTTTTTCCCCTTACTGGGTATTATTTTTCTAAAGATGATTGAGATGACTCTGTCAGTTGTTACATTAAGTGATTTAACACCCAAACTACTCAGAGCCTAATATTCTATATTTACCTTTAAAACTGAATTCAGTAAAGGGAAATACTAGATATAATCTTTGGGAATAAGTTTCTTGAATTGGCAGTACTACAACAGAGATCGGGTTGAAAGTCCCTTCCCAGGACTAGATTCTTCACTCTGATTTAAAGGTATCACTTCTGCTAAAGGGTGAGGTTCTTCTTGTCCATTCAATTGTTAGCTGGTCTTGGCAAATTTCCTG